ACAGAACAATTAGATTTACGTAATGTTTTATCATATGATAGACAATGATTCTGTAACCATCGAAATCCAAGTATTTCGCAAAAAATTTGATCTCTTCCGCAGTGAAAGCGATCCGTGGCATTGAAGCTACCGCAGTAGCTGCCGTCGGGCATTTTTCGCCAACCTTTCACCCGAAAAAGGATCGCGGCCACGGCAGCGACGGCGGCGATCGCGGCTGCACGACTGTTGAACGTCGTCGGCCGCGAAGTTCACTTTCCGCCCGCGGAGGTGAGAGTTCCATGGGAAGCTTCTGCCCGCTAGCTTAACACTCTGCACACGCCCATAACTAAGCGTGTGGAAACGCGTCCGTACGCTAAGCGGCTTTATCAGTTGCATGCCCGGTTGCGAGTTCGCGGAGGCAGTAATAAACCGCGATCGAAGGTGCGGGTGCGAATGAATTTCTTGAAATGTTATTGAGGAAACTACACAAAGAGAGGTTCTGCCTTATAGAGGTTCTGCCCCTTACAGAAATTTTATTCAATAATTAATATTACTAGCGAAGACAGTCTACGTTTCATTTTCTGAATAATACTAGTTTCTATATACCTATAATATTTTTCTAATTAATTAAATAAAAATGATAGATTCTTATTATTTTTGCTTTCTGTCTATTATAGGTGCTTTTCGCAATTTTAGATAAAGTCTTAAAGTAAAAGAACACTTGGAAAAAGATTTCCTTAATATAAATACATTTATATTATTTATGCATAAATTCATCATATATAAATAAACATTTATTTATTAATTATTAAATATTGTTATAACATTTATGGTTAAAGCAATTAGACGGAGCACTGAGAAAATTGCGGAAAATCAATAGCACGTAGTCTGTACATCTCGGGAAGCACATCAGTGGGTCGTATTCAATCACCATGACATTCAGCTCACGACTTTTGCCCCAGGAGGTGAGAGCAGCTTCCAGCCACAACATAAAGTGAACAGGATGCACCGCGTGCAATCTTATTCGCTCATGGAATACAACTTCGAACTCTTTAAGTATGTTGCACAATGCACAAAGTGCACGATGGAAGAATTGTGCACGAGATGTCAAAATACGTTAAACAATAGCTTGTTTAACATTGTTCACTAATGCAGTATATTAGTGAACAATGTATATTGATGATTGATGCAAAGTAAAAAAATGATAAATTTTATTGAAAAAAGAAAAGATAAAAATATATTCTTTAATTTATTGAAGTATATATATCCACACATTTTTAATTTTTTAAATAAAATATTTGTCGTGTACATCAATTAGAACACAATATACCACTAATCGTCGGTTGACTTATTGTGACAAGAAGGATGGTTTCATGCGGCTTGCTATTTCACGCCTGCGGGAGATCTGTCTTGATCAGGTACTGCTACTCTTCTCTTTCGCCTAGCTGCCGGCCGTCACTTAACTGGCTATGATTTGCGTGACGACGAATCCGAGTGATCCTCAGGAATGAATTATCCTGATAATTTCTACGATTGAGCCATCTCATAACTCGCCTCAACCAGATGCAGATTAATTGTAAGTCAGTCGCGATTTGTAAAATGGTTGTCTTACATTACGATTTATATATGTACTACGCAAAAAGTACTGCAATAAAATAAAATCAGAATCCGTTATAGTTAATTAACTGTTACTTACTGTACTGTGCTGTAAAATTCGAAAATAGTTTAAGTACCAGAAAAGCTTCTCTAATCATCCTGTGATAAAAAAAATTGAAAAATGGAAAGATTATTTAAGATCATGAAACACTCAGATTCTAATAGCTTAATTGTGTAATACGTTAAAGGAGATTTATAAAAAAAAAGAAGGGCAAAATAGCATTTTACAACTTGGCGAATTTATTTGTAGTCCGTTGAAGTGGAACTTTCCCACACACACTAATACAATACGATTTGCGGAAAGCATACATGGAATCATCACGCGCATGTTATCTCATCTCTCTTGGAGAGACAAAGAACATGAACCTTCCTACCGGGCTGACCGTGTGCCTCGGTGGTGTAAAGCTAGCGATACATGCATGAATATTGATACATGGTAATAATAATATAATATAATATAATAATAAATAATAATCAATAATAATAATTAATATAATAATATTAGATGCGCATAGATACGTATTTAAGCTATGTACAAAGTACGACCGCGGTTTCATTCCACTAAAAAGAATCAAAAGTTAGAAAAAAGTCCTGTTTGCTCCCGAAGTCATCGTGGTTCTTTTTATATAATCTTTTTAACATTAATTTATGCGAATTATGCTAAATGGCAGCTCTCGATATTCTCGAGATGCCGTAGCAAAAATATGCATATTGTACTAACACCATTTAAGAATGTTTGTATGATTTTATTCTCGTATCAAAGCAAAAAGATATTTAACGATGTCGTTGTAAAGATACATTAGAACCAGTCACGCAAAATCCTTAACCCTTATTAACGTACAAATTCAAACACTTTCTCTCCTTTTAATGTACACAGTTTGAAAAACATGCCACAAAATATATTAATTTAATACAAAAAATACATTCTTTACAATTTATCACGGTGGACTCGAGTGATACTCGAGTCGTAAGGTGATTAGAATGGGAAAAGTAAGAACTTATTCTGATTATGATAATTTAGGTGATATCTCTTTGCGCACAATATGTCTCTAGATATATCGATAGCATCAAGTATAACATAGATATTAGAAGAGAAAGTAGGAATATAGCATATAAGATAGGAGCATATGCGAAGAATTTAATTTTCTTTAGAAATACATAAAAATTTATGTAATGATTTTACACAATTTGTGATTTACGTTATGGAAAAATGTATTTAAAATTTAAAACATTAATTATAATCAAGATGTGAACCGTAAACAAAACTATTTATCTTAATTAGCTTCATATCTCAAAAATCTTTTTGATTACATATGTTGTATATTCCTACCGGCTCCACTACGAGAACTGAAAGTTCCTGCAGTTTGCATCTAAGTTGACCGATTTCAAGCGCGACGATTATATTTATGCTCGCCACTCGTGAATTCCTACTTGGTTCTCGTATTTAGCATCTTGAAAATCAAGTGGGAATCAGCATCACCATCTATATCGTATATAGCTTCACGTTTGCCTACTTCGAGCATTATGGTGACAATTGCTACATCACATACGATGTCCCCCTTCCATCCACATTTCGAGAAATATACTACACTGAGGAAAATGTCCGAACATGAAAATAAACAAACCATAAAATTTTGATTTTATCAGAATTCCGGAATTATCTCAAATAAAATTCTAGTAGATTTAACCAGAAAATTCTAACTCCATCTTCAATCAGAATTCCAATTAATTTAGTGAGACATTTTTCTCGGTGGCATATATACCTATCACGTAATCCGTACGAGTATGAATAAAGGAAAAGAGATATTAAATGATACAGAAAAAGGGAAGAGAAGGAAAGATATGATCGACGCTCAGAAATAATAATGGTTGATCCTCTTCTACTTCAATGAATCGCGTCTCAGCCGGAATCGAAGAGACATCTCGCTGAGAGTTCACCCACTGGAAACCGATCTCAGCTGACTGGTATTTGCGTCAGCGATACCACTGCGAACCCACCTTGTAGCCCCACGTGGTCCGAAGGTTGTCCGATCGTGTCTTCATATGCGACAATCGCACACGTTCGCGAGATACGATTTTGTGTCGGCGATCCTGACGATGTGACTTGTCGTATCGCCGTCTCGAAATTATATGGATTTTCTGAAGGGGAAGTCGAGTAGCTTCGCGGTTTGATTGCCAGGTGGTAGGTCAGGAAGACGTCGCTTCGGGCCTGGGCGTGGTCCACGGTAGCACGCGAAGAAGCGAACAGTGTATCCTCCGACCAGCGCTCTTATAGAGCTAGTGGGTTATTACGTAGTCCAATTTAGGACGTTAGCCCGAGGAGCCTGAGTGGAACAGCGTTGTGATAGCTTTCGTTATGAAAATGCGGAAGAATGTGGATCGCCCGTTTAGATTCCTGGATGAACTGTCGATTCGCTTCTTCATAACTGGACGACCGATTTAATATGCGAACATCATTTTCTCTTCTTCTTATTCTTGAATCTTCGTCGTTTGTCCATCGATCGAAACATCGATGTTGCGTATAATAAGAAGCCTTAACTCATTATCAGTTCTGTCGACAATTTTATCGTATAACGCTCATGAAACGCTCGTGAAAAAATTCTTATCGAGATAGTTGAAATGTATTTAATTGAAGACAGTGAATATTTAAAGCAGTGGACATCAAGAAAAAAAGATTTTAGATCATTTTTCTAAACTGACAAATAAATTATTTCGTTATGTTCCATAATCGCATCTATCTTCTTTCATATTCGTGTATCTTAATATACAGACCGCTGACTATTGTATTCATTAGAGGTGCGGGAGTTCTCGAATTATGCATATCATGTATCCAATAATATCTTAAACGGCGAATTCCGTAAACATTTCAAACATCGTCAATCGCTTGGCATATATCTAGCAAGAATATTATTACCCGTTCGAATGAGTTGAATTACAGAGGAAGTTCGATGAAATTACAATTGTCTGTCGTGTCGCTGTATCCCAAATAGCTCCTATCGTTTTCGGTTCTGCAATGGTGCTTCGTGTCAGGTCGAATCGAAGATTCCTCTGATGTGGCTGACGTCTGGGTGTAGGCTCGGAATATACAGGAGGGTGAATAGAAGCGAAAAAATTCAAAGAAGCAGGACGGACGAACTAGATGCGAGAGTGACAGGCGAGGGTGATGACAAAAATCGACGAAGTATCGCGATTCCCTTGCCGTATGCAAACATGACGTCACTTGCAAGTTTGACATGTCGTCGGATCGACGCGAAGGATTGCTCTAATAGAGGAGGGACATCAGGAAGAACTGGTCGGTAGCTAAGAGCATTCGATAGAGAAAGAGAAACGCGTGTCTACGGGAGTTTAGGATAGTAGTTGGCCGGATGGCTTCTAATACCTAGAGTAGCCATTCGAATAGCCATTTGAGTAGCCGTTGGAGCCCTTGTAGGGAACAGAGTGTATGCTCCTGGAACAAAGATGGTCGAAATCGGAAGATGAGGAAAGTACATTTCCAGGGAAAACCCCTCGCTTCCTTCCCACTCACATCCTTTAAATTTCCTTTCTATCTATCAATCATTCCTGCCGCCTCGTTAAAGCGTTGGGACCCGTGCGCGCCGTGTTAGTACAAGAAATAGCCGACGATGAAGAAGTCGTAGAGGGTAGTAAAAGTCGCAGACACAGTGAGAAGACGAAATAGCGAAAGAGGCAGACAGAGGAGAAGAAGTAGAGGAAGATGAAGAGAAGAAGAAAAAGTAGTATACACATGCTGGGGTTTTCTGTGGTGGCGGTAGTGACATAGTTGTTGATCGCGCTTTCGCCACGACCGGGAAAAAGTGCGGGTAATCAAATAAAAAAGTGCATGGTTGTAGTTTGTAGTGTTGCAATTATTGTCATACTCTGTCGTCTAGTGTTATTGTTGCAATTGCCATTATTGTTGCAGTTTGTATTATTAATGGTATGCCCATTTTGTATGCGTGTGTGTGTTGTGCGTGTGTCAAGGTGCAGGAGGTTCAGAGCTCCCGCTCACCGCCACCCACATCTACAACAGAACAGAAAACAAGACCACCGCCGTTACATACAAGGTATCCATTAGTATCCACCAGTATTGAAGATTTATTTTATCGCTCGCTCGTTCAAACGCGCTCGCGCACACGTTCCATGCGGGGGCAGCATTATTTCAGACTGATTTATGGGTCAGGCCGATTCTATGGGCCCGCGTGTTCGCGCGACTCGCTGGACCGACACGTCGACTCGTCGACTCGCGCCCGTAGGCAAGAGAAGGAGTGCAAAGTTCGCGGATCTTCGCGGATCTCTTCTCTCTCCCGATTCGCGCTTCTATTTGCTGTGAGGCGGGTGAAGGCGACACGTTGCAACATTACAAGGCTATTGATGCGAAAGGTCAACGCGGTAGCGGTCTCCTTCGGCCGAACCAATGGTTTTGACCTTCTCGAGATCAGCACCGTGACCGTTTAAGCGATAGTTAACGCGTCTTAACTTTCTTGTTAACTTAAAGAACACACTTTGACCGAAATCGAGAAAACGATAAAAATAGCATAAGATTTGCATTTAATAATTGCATTTACAATGGAATCTATTGCATATTGATATAATATCTTAACTAGAATTTAAGTGGAATTTATGATTTAAATAATAATATTAAATTAACTCATATTTATAAAAAATGTAATTAATTATAATTTATTATCGAGTCACTTTCAAAACGACGCAATCCTTCTCTGCTGTAACGTGATGTCATCCTTTCTTTGACGGACTTAAACTAGTTTTATATGCATAAAAATGACTCATGTAAACCTTTCTCAATCGCATCTTTTTCTCGTGATCCGCCATACCTTTAAACCAATATATCTTCTTCTTCGCTCGTTGACATTGCGTTGACATTGCATTGACATCCTCATATACATAGCAAAAATAAAATGTCTTTTGATTCACAAATGAGACAGATCACACAAAGATACAATTTATAAAATTGTGAATTGATTCTCGGGTGCGGCCAAATGCGGGTTGGTATTTGGATGTTTTCTTTTATATTACACATTTTATATTTATTATAATATCCATTTTTTCTAAACGACAAATCTCTTACGCATGGAACGGTTTGCGCGAGCGTCGCGTTAATCAATGTTATAACTAAAAGACCATCGTGAGACGTTTTCATATGATATTAATATTCCATTCATTTTCGTACGAATGCGATATCTTTATTTCATTATGTAAAAGCTAGTCAATAATTCGTGCTTTGCGTCTCGCGACTTTGCGAGCGACGAGATGTTTATCGAGAAATTATCAAATCGTGGACCAGATTAGTTCTCGAAGCAAATTATAAAGCATTAGCTTCTTTTTGCTATCGTTTTTCTTACTTTGCGAAAGGTCAAATCGGTGACCTGACCGGTTTCCCAGATGCCAATCTCATCTTAACTGAAAGTTCTACGCGAAACTAAGTAGCTTCAATTTTTACAGTTATTATATGAAGGCGAATAATAAAAATAATCTAACACATAATGAATATCATTGAAATTTCACGCCTCTTTTCACTATTTGACATCAAAATGATTATTGATTACAATTCATACAATAGAATCATAATTTTCGTCCTTATTATCTATGCTATATAAAAAAAGAAGTAATCACAACAAGAAAATGTCTATGATAGTCGATGACGCAATCTAACAGCAGTTAATTTCAATCTAGCTCGATTTCTCGAGCTGATTGCTGACTGAGAACTAATCATTTTCCATCGTCCCATCTTGTCGTGTGGCAAACAACGAGGACGCGTAGCAAAACGTCTCCCGATGGCTTCTCTATTGCTTTTCGAGTGCAGGTTCTTGCAAGTAAGAGTCACGCACTGACGTCTGATTCACGATCGGTTGCCGCGATATTCCACAGGAACATTGGCAATATTCTACTACGTCAGGTGTGTCACGGGCTTCTCTTTCATATGCGCGACGCCATACTCGTACAGGACCCTTGTAAGGGACCCCCTAAAGAGTACTCAGAAATCGCGGCGATTGATCATGGATCAGATCACGTACGTGTCCCGTGCGAGCGCGCAAAAATAGAAGTCCTCGAACGGCAAATAAAACGTAATAAAAAAAAATTAAACGTAACAAAAACTGTCGAATAAAACAAAGTTAACAAAAATGGTAAAAACGAAAATGTGACGGTGTACCTGTGTTGCTTGAGGTTGTCCTGCCGCTTGAAGGTCTTTCCGCAGACCTCGCAGGTGAAGGTCACGTCGTCCTTATGGCTGCGCTCGTGGATCATGAGGTTGTAGGGCTTCGTGAAGCGCCGCTGGCAGTACTTGCAGACGAACTCTACCGTGCACTTGGCGCGCATCTTCTGCCGCCGGCCGAACTCCCTGCCGTGCCCCTCTGTCTCCATCGGCATTATCGCGAACATCCTTATAAATTCCCACCGCTCCTTCTCTTGGTCGAGTCTCTCTCTCTCTCTATCTCTCCTTTCCCTCTACCCGAGCCTCTCTCGCTCTCTTGCTAACGCCCGGAGTCACTCCCACCACGTCTTCTGTCTTCCTCTGTCCCCTTTCTTACTGCCTCACCGTCGCTCTCTTTCTCTCTCTTTTTCTCTCTCTTTCTCTGCCTCGTTCGCAGACTTTCGTATGCTCTCTCCTTCTCTTTTTGTCTGTCTTTCTTGACTGTCGTTCTTCGACTTCGCTCTTCTCCTCCCGCGCAAAGCTAGTCTCGGGCACGGTTGACTCCTGAGAGTGAGATCACTGCTTGTACCACGTCGCGAGAGAATCCTCGTATCGCTGCCTGCAAAGAGCATAGAATCGATGATTCTCCTCCGATCTGACTCGCACGCTCGAAGAAATCACCCGGAGTCGCGAGAGCGGAGTATTCGCGAGGGACGCTTGTATCCGAGATATTTACTCGAAGCGCCGTTGCCTACGAGCAACGGGTTAGTAACGTTAAAGCTACTTCTGAAGTATTTTGCATTTCTTACGAAGATGCGTAGGTGGAGAGACACGCGCATGCCAATGCGCCTTACGGAATAGAAATTCTTTCCGATCGAATTATTATCGGGATATTTTATTGGAAATTCGCTTTTAAAATGACATAGGGAAGTACTTTACCTATGTATATAAAGGGTAACTCTGAAACACAAGCTAACTACAACTGATTCTGGGAGGAAAGTCTATTGTGAGATATCATTGAATTAAAATAATATGATAATTCTGGAGATGCGAAAAGTAATATGTAATTGTAATATATATATTATATATAACATATTTTTATATATAGATAAGATAAAAGAGAGAATGTGTAACATTTTTGCAGAAATGTCACAAGCAGCTTTCATTTTGTAATTTTACTTTTTTGTAATTTATTCCTGCAAATCAGCGATATAATTGTATTGTCCACTATTATAACATTATTAATAGATATTACATCTTATGTCTGTAAGAAACATAAATGAAAAAAGCTATTATATCAATGCAATAAATAAAATTGAAAACTCGTAAAATTTTCATATAAACATCAAGTATATGTTTTGTTTCATTTCACTTTAAAAATTTATATTACGACATCTTCTATATAATTTTATGGTAGAACTCTATGAAAATCTTGCCAAATTACAACTGCACAAAATTATAAGAAACTTATATGCGATACTTAATTATTCCTAAATATAATTAAGAACGAATGGTAAATGATAAAGAAAATTTTTTTACAAAATCTATTAGAAATAATGTACCGTTCTAAACTTGTGACTATCTCAAATATTTATGTGTTAAGTTTCTCAGACAGCAAAAGAAAAACACGATGTGAATGCCCATAAAAAGCTATGTGCTTCTGAAAAAAATTAATGACTAGTTTCCTAATTGGGTGCGTCTGCTATATTCGCGAGTTTAAATCATTAGCTCCGACACGTCCTCCGGGCATATTTAATTTCAAACACGCGACTGTCCAGTTTTAAGTTTCATTCATATGAGATGCTGTGTACATTCATGGTAATCGAGGAGGAAGAACCACTATTAGCGCTAAATGCACGTCGCAAATACGATCCGTAATCTTTACGCTAACTATCCGACGCCACGCAAATCATGAGAATATTTCCCGAGCTCGCGACGTTGTTCCATAAAAAGTATAAAAGCAATGAGTCACCGATTAACTTTTATGTGATTAGTGGGTTAATTTTTAAGTTTTTCAATAAAATTTAAATAAAATGCTGTTTATATGACAACTATATAATAATCATTGATACAAAAAAACAATAATCCGTTCAAAATATGTTGCTCGCATATATTTATTTTTCCTCATATCATCTTTATCCTGTTATATGTATTTTTCTATCACATGATAATTATAATTAAAAATTCATCGAGCTAAAATTATCCGAAATTTATCTTTCACGATTTCTTACATTTTATTTGGTACCGTTCATAATCTTCGACATGATCGCCTTGAAATGTCTCTTAAACTTTGAAAATAATTTAAGAGGTCTGATGTAATCGAATTCCGCTAAAGTCATTTCCATTTTCGCGCGTCAAAAATTAGTATTTATTTTATTACTTAATATTTCCGCCGCTGCGCATATATCCAGAGAAGACATTCCCTCCATGATAAAAATAGAAAGGAAAAATATGAATTGTATACTGAAAAAAAATACTAAATTTTAATAAATATTTATTTAAATGGTACCATTTAAATAATTACGTATAATAAATAAATATTTATTCAATAAAAAGAAATAATAGTTGAAAAAATTTAATGATTCTTATACTAAATAAATATTTACTTGAAATTACTCAAACAAATGATTTATTAAAATTTCTTAAAATTTTTTTTCAACGTACGTACAATATGCCAAATTATACCTCGTGTAAGTATTACTTTTAGGACTCCCTCGTACGGATACTCAGCCGGATATGAATGAGGGATCGGAATTGTATTGCCACGGTCTAATGGCACGGTTCTCGAATTGGAATCGGCATGTTAAAAAATAGCCCGCGGGATCCAATCGCGCGGTGCGGCCATTGTACAGGAGTGTCGGCCAGTCGCTACCGGCTCGCATTAAGCGCACGGCGCACGCTCGAATAAAGTGGCGTGTCCGAATGAGTAATAAGCGGTGCCTGGGCGTAGCTCGGTTGGTTAGCGTGGCTAACAGGCGGTGGAGCCTAATCGGAACTGCGCATTACGCGCGACTTCACATTTCACAAAAAAAAAAAGATCCGCTCCGTTCCTTGGTAAAATATCACGCTTCTGTCTACTCTCGTCGTCGTTGACGACGCTGATTCAGACCTCATAAATATCCTTCCAACAATAGCTGGGGCACGTAAAAACAAAAAATGTAGAAAAATACACACAAACAATACTGTAGCTGTCTTCGAACGGGACACCTTCGTCACTCCGTTAGAAGTTTATGTGTAAATATTGGGTATATATGGATTTACGGTTTTGTGTAAACCGTACTAAAGGTATTCTTCCAAGGATTTGAACGACCTTATAAATCCGTAAATAAAGAGACAGACAAGAAACTACAATACCTTTTGTTATTTTGTAAGTACGGCAAAAATCGTTTATCTATACACTTTGTTAGAATAGAAACCCCATAAGAAATTTTATCTCCAGAGAATTCAAATGAAAGACTTCCTAACCTGTTCCTTTGGAAATTTAGTCATTTTACTTTCGAATAGCAAACTGACAAAGCTATTTCTGTCGCAGGTTGATGCACGTCGGTAGAAACGAACGGTAACACCAGCTACTACATAGCAATCTTATCGAAGAGTTACGAGGTCACAGTACGCTTGTATTACCCGAGACGGGTACATGTTGTAGGAACAGGTTCTCACTTTGCGTGAAGCGAAGTTAATGAGTTGTGCGTTAATGAGTTGGGTGCCGAGGAAAACGACATTAGCCATGTAAACGCTTAGGTTTTATATTACAGACGATGCCGGTGAGGACGTGCAAATCTTGAATCGATAATATATGATCGTGTTCTCTGATAACCGCTAAGTTTGCTGAATTCTGGGCGATAAAAATGCAGGAAAAATAACAGACCTAAGCTACCGATATTTTTCATTTCGATGATATTTTGCGGGGGATAAAAGAACGTCTGTAAAATGAAATATATAAAATTGCGAGTGTAACAAGACGTAAGATTTGCGAAGCAGCAAATACGAGCACGAGTTAACGGTGTATCACTGAAAAGCGAACATCGTGCCAGCTACCATGTTTGCCTACCGAGTTCGCGTGATCGAATGCTTTCATTTAATGTATGATAATGTATGATAATGTATGATAATGCGATATATGTAGACGCTCGCGTTTATGGATGCGCCATACTAGACGAAGATTTGCAAATAGGCGAAGCGTTTTGGTATGTACGGAGCTACGCGAAAGTGAATTTTGTTGTGAACCACGCTAAAGGAGGGAATGCGCGGAATAATCAAGTGAGGCTTCCTCTTCACGTGAATAGAATTGCGCGCGATTAAATAAGCAATTAAAATAGATATCATGTAATCTAACTTTTATAGCATATAAAGATAATCGTGCTATTCATGACTATTAATTCAATTCGCGCAATAGGAAAGTCATTGTATTCTGATGTAATTGGTACAAATAAGCTAAAAATTAATTTTTTTACAACAAAGAGCAAAATTGAGAAAAATAAACGAATAAAAATGAATTCAATATTACACATATAATTATCAATAATACATATAATAATATACGTTTGTATATCCATAGAGCAGCACAATCATTTCGCTACAAGCTTCTGTGCTGGGTACGTATTATGAGGAATTATTCGGAATAGATTTCCGATCGGAATTATTCCTTAGATTTCTATTGTGTTTTCTAGAGAAAACGGAATAATTCCGATCGGAATCCATTCCGAGTAATCGTATAATACGTGCTCTATAATGAATATAGTACCTCTGGATATTGAAAATTGATAGAAAATTGAATATATTGACTATCTATAGCCAAGATAAATTTCACTTCGTACTAATTTCTTCATGAGAAAAATAAACAAAGGACTTCGTTGCACTTAAGAGTTACTCCTAACGAGGGCAATCTAAAAGAGACGTTTGACAGTATGAGTATAAGTTTCACTTTATTCAAAATTATCGAGACTTTCGAAAAAGGGCAATCGCGAGTACCTTTCGTTCTATCACGCGATACGAAGGGCGGAGTGCGTGGTACAAAGAGCCGGCAGCCAATCGAAGAAGAACGGAGAGCGGCCAACCAAGTGAGTCCGGCTCAATGTGCGTGCACTCGTTCTCGCGTGTATGGAGGAATAAAGGAAGGAGCGGTAGCCCTCGTTCGTTCGCTCGCCACAGCGAGAAGGCCGGTAGCCAACCAAAGAAGAGTCGCTACTGTGCACCGCCCTACCGCCGACTACCGGTTTTCGGCCAGTCGCTACTGAACAGCTGGAGAAGTCCACCAAGTGGGACCACACCCTCCCTCCGCCGTCTAGACGTCGAATCGCGATACCAACGGGGTACGCGGACGATCACGCAAGGGCGTTTCTCACGAGAGATATTACCTATCGCGCGGACTCGCGCCACGCGCGGCGCTAAAGAAAAATGGTAGCTCCGTGATGGATCCGTTTTGATCCGTATAGGCGACTGGTAGGTAAGAACCTTGTTATATCTCTATCTTCATAATTTGAACGGACGCATGTTGCAGTTCAATTTGCGTTTACGCAATAAGAGAAGAAAAATGATTAAAATAAAATTTCAATAGGATCGTAGGAAATATGAGCATAATTAAGATAATTGCTTTGTAGTAATTGATCAACGTGATAAAAATCAGTAGCTAAGCAAGTTTTCAAAATAAAAAGTTTTCATTTATTTTTTAATTCAAATTTTTTTTATCACCTCTCTCTATTACAAATATTATATAAACTACCCAAATATCGTTGAATATCGCGAGAAATTAAAAGCGAACTACTGAATTTTAGAAAGATGTCTATAATACAAAACTTAAAATTATGTGTTTTGCAGATGTATGTCTATAGAAATTACAATTATTAATTGGAAACACGAATCACTAAAAAAAAATAGTGAATCTTTAGAAGAATTGAAGGAGACCATCGTAAAATCGCCGTGGACACAACCCGCAAGATTGAGGACCAATCAAAATGCAGTAGCTACTGTGCACCGCCCTACAGCTTGCTACTGATTCAGAAGCAAGGACTTGATATACATGAACGAATGTAGACCACACCCCTATTCCCGTTCGTTTAATTCTTAACACGTGGAGGCGTACGATAGAAAATGCAAAGATTCGAAGATTTAATAGATATATTTTTGCTTTCATTTTACCTACAGAATTTAAGTGATATTTGACGATGATTTTCATCATGAAAAGAAGCAAAGATTGCAAGATATAAAAGTAGCTTAGAATTAGAATTAATTCCTGATAAAGCGTAAGAGCCGATTATTTATTTTGTCGTCTCACATAAAAAAAATTTTGAAATAAATATTAACATATTGTAATAGAAACAAATACACAATTGAAGAGAATTATATTCAAGCAAAATTATATCAATACGTGGTATTGCATCCCATAAACGAAACTTTAATAATCTATATATATTTAAAATGGGGTACCGTATATTTGGTATATTCTAACAGCTCGAGATACAGTGAGAAAGAAGAAGAATAAGAAAGAGAAACATGATTTTAAAGAAAATATCCGATTTATAAACGATGTAACTAATCTTTTCAATTAATATCATTTCAAATATTATTGAATTAATAATTAATTATTATATTAAGTGTGTATAATAAACAACTATAACTTCAATCTCAAATATAATTATATTTATGTAATATATTATTGAAATTACATGCTAGAGATAAAGAGATGATATCAATTGACTTACCGATAGAGATAGAAAGAATGCGAATAAGGATTCGTCCTCGAGCAACGTCCAGTAGTCCTCTTCCGCAAGGGACAGTTTTCGAACTTGAGTAGAAGCGTAAATTTTCGATGAACGAAAGAACGAAACTCGCGAAATACGGTTAGTTGTAAAACGAACTGTATAGTGCGCGTATAGTGTCACGCTGCCAACAGTCGGGATCTCCGTATTACTTAGTAGGTCGGTAGCTTGTGAAAGTGTTGAGTTGCTGCGCGTGTGTCTTCCGGGCTGACAGGTCTGGACCGTTTGGGTGCGCGGCGTCGACTGAAGCTTCGTTTGGTCGCTCGGTTCGCTGGTAGCCCGAATAGGTAGGCACACCAGAAGACGGTAGGACGCCGTGTGTAACCGCCAAAGGTCTCTTCGTCGTCGTCGTCGTTTGGCTTCTTCTGGTTGGAGGACCGGGAGACACCTCCCTACCGAACCAACTCACCGATACCCACCAGTTATCGTGTGAAGGTAGCCTCCCTTCAATTCCACGGGGAACGTACACGTCCAGGATGTTCCTTCCTCGACCTCGTTGCGGTGGTAGAGGTAGAAAAGAGGCGGCCAGGGAGGCGAGGGAGGAGGAGGTGGAGGAGGAGGTGGTGGTGGTGAGAAGGATGCGGAGGAGGAACGGGAGCAGAAGAAGGAAAATGAGGGAAGAGGGTGACGGCGGGTGTTGGCAGAGGAAGAGGTGAAGACGATGATGAAGAGGAAGTACGACGAAGAAGGGAAGAAGTGGTAGCGCGCCTTGTCCCGAGTCTACATGCGTCCTTGTCTCACCCGGTCGCCGAATAGCAGCGCGGTTATTCACAAATCCTTCGTCGACGCGGCTTCCTGAGCTCCCGCTTGGTGTACCCGTCCGCCCTCCCTTCCCCTCCCTTCAACTGTCCCCGCGGAGTTGCTCCCTCTCTTCCACGTTCTACGGGTTCTGATCCCTTCCACCGCACCGTGTCTGGGCCCGCCCTCATAACCGTGAGACGAGAGCATCCCTCTTCACCCACGCTAAGACCCCTTCTGGTATAATCTTGAGGTGTCTCCCCTACCTTCTTTTAAAGTATTCGAATACCGCTCCGGCATACTTGGGCCGCTTCCTTCCGCCTTCGCCCTTTTCCAAAAGGATACCCCCCGCGGGGGCGGTAGCCAACCCCGGCCGTAAAAAGCTACGGAGGTAGCGCTCGTATCCAAAAGCTAGAGCCACTGACTCCCTTCGGCGTGCGCGCGTCTTCCATCTATCTTACCTGCCTATCTGTATGTATGTAGGAGTATCCGCAACACTATGTGTTGCCGGTCGACTTTGGAGGAGAGAGCTGTAGATATTTTCGTGGATAAACAATATGAGCGCGCGCGATCGCCGTGGCAATCCCGACACCTACGCGTAAAGGTGAAGCGACGTACCGATTCTCGGGAGAAAATCCACGGGTGCGTCGATTTCTTGATTTCTACCGCGCTAGGTGAAGAAAGACGGGGAGAAAGGTAGAGATAAGCAGAAGCGGAAAGAAAGAGAAAGAGAGAGATAGAGACAGAGAGAAAAAGAAAGCGAGACAGACAGGCAGACAGAAGGAGAGACGCTTGCCGCTGACGATGAGAAGCAGATAGTGTGGGAGAAGATGGAGGTGGAAGGAGCGTGCAAAAGCGAAGAGCGGGGGCTGACACGATGCCGCGGGGGTTCCCAGGGCACGTGGGAAATGCACAGTAGTCGATGTCAATCCCCCCACCAGGCGGCCCACTCGGGCCCCACGGGGCCCCACCACGAAGTCGCCGGGCCGGAGAGCCATCGCCGGGATTCCGGGCGCCGCCCATCGAGATCTTGCGGTATCGCTTCATTGGACAATCCTATGCGAACGGGACGATCGCCTCCCTCAACGAGTCACCAGGATGATCGAGTGGTGGAAAAATTCCTCGGGAACGGCAAAGAGGATTGACGACGATGAAGAGAGGAAGAAGAGGACGATGAAGAGGAAGAAAACGAGGGAGCGATTGGCAACAAAGGCGACGCCGACGAGCTTGGCATGCGGCGACTTCACCGCCGAGCCGTGTGGCCACTGATTCAGCCTGCGAAAACGCATCGCCAAAGATGGAAAGGCATCGGAATGACAATAGGAACTTGGATAATAGTAAATAGAGGGTAGTCTTCGTTGCCTTGATGGCGATTTAAACGACAGATTAAGAGATGTTTGAGTATTTTTGACGTGCACGACGGCATGTTAGGAATACATATTGATTGCTGTATAAATTGCCGATGTCAAAAGTATTTAACTGCTTTGGTGTAAAATAATGATGCAGCAAATGGTATTGAAAATGTCGAGAGTTGAACTCAATGTTGCTAATTATGTCGATTCCTTAGCTAGATTTAATATCAAGCAAATGCCGAATTTAATTAAATTGTATTTGATTATATATATATATATAATGATATATTATTTGTTTATCGACATATTTATCATATATCTTAAAAGTATGTATAACATATTTTAATTTTTAAATTAAAAACATACAAAAAGATTTTACACTTTATAATACAACTTTTGATGTTATTCGCTCTGAGTTGAAACCATGATTGCCATTTCCAGACTAGTATTGTCACATTCTGCCGAAGATAAATTTTCAAAAGAAAAAATGGTGAGAGAGAAAGAGAGAGAGAGAGAGAGAAAATATTTGGTGTCAGAATTTGTTCAAATAAGCAAAAAGGACCATAATGTTTTATAGCTTTCTATAAAAAAAAGGGGTCGTTAAAATTAAAAGCTGAAAATTCCTTTTCAAAACTAGAGTTTTCTCTTGGATACCATTTTCCCATGTGCTGAAGAAAGCCGAAAATCTGTTAAAAAACTTGATTATCCGGTTGAAAACCGGAAAGATGACAACTATGATCATAACAGTCGCGTATTAATGAATAACTGTTTCGCGTATCTAGAAAAATTATTGCAAAATCTAATTAAATAAAACAACCACATAACAGCCTACATTCAACATAAACTTCAAATTATCAAGGAATTTGAGGAAATTTGAACAAATATTTTCAATAGAAGATAATTTAAACAACGCAATACAGAAAAAGGACTACGAGCCAAAAATCAATCGTTATAATTTAAAAGTAAAAAATAAACAATTATATCGTTAAGTTAAAAATATTATAAACTTTAATAGAAAAACAAACGTTTCGATCGCGGTCGGATCATTATCAATGTTTACATAAATTAGTCAGTATGGTAAAACAAATATAATGAAAAATTACATGAAGGATCGAGTAGAATAAAGAAAAATTATACAAATTATAAAAATACTTCGCTCTCTCTCTAATTGTTTGAAACACTAATATCGACATAGTCGATGCATGATTATTAAAAACTGATATCGGTATTTGTATCTTGCTGGCAGTTGAAATGTCCGAAAAGATTGTCAATGCATGTTATCTTAAGTTATGTTATCAAATTTTCAGTCAGAAATAATGAAATTGGAGACAACACGACGAGAGTAAAAATCGATATTCCTTGAATCGTATATAACTTTTTTTTTAATCATTATTTTTTACAGTTGTGACAATTTTAATGATTTTTAAAAACTACAGTTAAATTAATTTACTTTTAATAATTGGTAGGGTAATGTAGGTACTTTAACTTATATATTTATGGTAATAATTCGAAAATCTCGTTTTTTTAATTGTCACTTTTGAAGTGAGGGAGTGATATAATTATATATTAATAATATATAATAATTTCACATATATGGATGCAAGAAACTAATTTGAAGATTACTACAAAATACGTAAAAATTATTATCAATTTTATTCGCAAGAATTGCAATCACTATTGAATCGCAATCACAATTACTCAGTTATTACATTTTTCACTAATAGCATATAATATTATTACGATTATATCTATTAAAGTCTAAAGTTTATTTTTCTTGTGAGAACCCAAAAATCCGGTGTTCTTCCAGTTTTTCTGGCGTTATACTGCAGAAGCGATATGAACAAACGGAGACGCAGAGATCAGATGTCAGGCTGTAATCAGGAGTTGAAGGTGTACCGAGAAGTCGCTTATCTTGATATCCAAAAGCAGTTGTGCGTATTCGGTTGACCGGATGGATCAGAAGAGCCGCCGTGTTGGCGCAGGAAACGGAAACTGGTGGAAACAAAGCCTCGGCAAATAGACGGCATCTCACAGGGAATAGGGCAAATAACGCGCGTCCGCACCTATTGCTCTCACCTCAGTCGCGACAAATATTGTCACGTCCATGACGGAGAGGGGAAGAAGGGAAACATCACTTCTCGTTTCGGGCTGAGGAACCCCAACCGATAGATTAGGATACGGGTACGATACTGTAAACGACGTCACCGCACGCACGCAGCGTGAAAGATAACGAGAACCGATCGAGACAGGTCTTGTCGAATTAGCAGGTAGGTTCAAGCAGCGGTGTGAGAAACCATCAACCGTCGATCCCGAGATAACGTAATCCGAAAGGAAAATCGTGAATGGGACCGAGCCGGAAAATGAAGAATACTATTTAGGTCAGAATGTATGCGAACACGAACGGAAATGACAGCGATGAAACTTCTTTTTTCCGATCCGTTTCTCTGATGGAATTTACAAAATGATGTCACTTCCGCATCCTATGAAAACGGCAGTAAAAGAGTATGAATCATATCAGTTTTTTCAATTATTTTTACAATAAAAGACGAATTTTTTAATTCATCGATTAATTTATCGCGTTATGCGCAAATACAGCTTTTACAGAGCAAAATTATATCTTTGAATATAATGCGACTGATTAATCGATGAATTAAGAAACTTTTCTAAACATACGCGATCAATCAACATCACTCTATAATTTAAATGAAGAAACATACGAATTTTGTTATAATATTTTTATTTATCTCTTTTTTTATATATTACAAAATTGAATAGATCAATCATCTTTATTTGAAAAAAGTATAATTCCTTCTTGATATATTTTTGCAGAACGATGAAACAAAAGAAAAATACGCGATAAAACATTTATTGAATACGAATAGTTCTTGATAAAGACATAAAATAGAGCGAGGCTAATTGAGCATAGGAGCAAGTTGAGACATACAAATACGTCAGAGCGATTTCAACTATATACTATAAACTCCTATTAACTTAGTTGGAACTTAGCTTAAACGGCAGAATCGTTTAAAATAAAATCTTTAATATACAATTCGTTTGTTGTAACCTAAAAACTAGTCACTTACAAATTTCTTGCAACTGAACATTTTAAAATCAAACACGTTCCAATAACACGCATTGGTATGTTTTCAGTAATGCAATTATTACCACCGCAATTTCATTGGGACATGTTTTATTTCAATATGCTGAGTTGTATGTAAGAAATTTGTGAGTAACCAGTTTTTGGGTACGATACGTGGTTTTTAATCTT